AACGTTCCACTACGTTCACCAGCTATTTGCTCAGCCAGTTTGTAGAGATCTTTTCACTGGAAACAGCTGCCTGCTGCGGATGAAAATGAAGCTATGAGAGCGTTGAGACTGAAACAAAACAGTAGAGTTGCAAGCCAGATAGCTCAACTGAAACTTAGTATAAAGCTCCATAAACCAGTTGGGAGCTGCAGATTTGGCTATGTCTCTATCTCTGTACGTTCATCACTACGAGAGACCCCTTTCACATGGTCTCATAGTTTTCACATTGTCAATATAAAAATACAGATTATAGCCGCTTCAACAGCTATATGTCCCACAACATGTAACACACAGCTGCTGAACAATGTAAAATAGAGCTGTGTGCAATAAATATGTGAACACTTCAGCACTTTACTTGTGATCCCAGTGCAATAGGGCAACGTGCAATAAACATACTAGCACCTTAGCACATGCACTTTACACAAACTTCAGTGCAATGGAGCAATGTGCAACAACCATACTAGCACTTTAGCACTTGCACTTTAATCCATGGAACTGTGTTGTTAACAATGTCCTTTTACTTCTGTGTTTATATTTTCTTCTTGTGAAGTACAACATGTCGATGCTTCTCAGGTTCTTGTTCATGTGTTTTTTGATGTGTGATGTCTTTTGTGATGTTTTTTATGAAGCAACTCTGCACTGTGCCCAAGCAGAATTTCCCCTTGGGGACAATAAAGTTAACCTAACCTAACCTAACATGTTGTGGGACATAACTGCTGCGAAGATGACATTTTTTTCATGTTGATTAGATACTGACACCAAGATTGCAACTTGTTCTCTTGTGATACTGGAGCACAACCATTAACTCCCTTTACTAAGTATTTTTAGCTTGGTAACTTCTCTATGACAGTTCAGCATTTTGCCAGCTGTTTCGCATGAGTTGCGGTGTTTTCCTGTGTGACGCAGTTTTACAGGTGTATGTTTTTTTTAACTTGACAAATCTCAATAAACACAGAGAGAGCACCAATGGACCTAACAAGAGTAAATAAAGACCACTGAGGAAAGGGAACAAATTGGCAATGGGAGTTTCTGAGGTCATGTTCTGAAGTCAGAGGTGATCACAGTGGGCAAAATGTCTGTTTTCAAGACTACTGTGACAAATAAATGAGGCTCATTTCAGCCAAAAGCATCAGGGTGATGATGTGAGCTGCAAGGCTTTGACACTACCATATCTCAAACTGCCATACTCTATGAGGGAGAATCATCATGACATATTGGTTCATACATTAAAATACACACACAGCCAAGCACACAAACAGATACCACATACGCAATTCAAACTTTAACATTTTTTTGTCTTGCTGTAAAAAAGGGACAGGGGATTTCTCTAGCTGTGCTGAGCAGAAGGCCTCCGTGATCCACAGATGGCTTGATGAACTGCAGGGCATTCACAAGGCAATAATGAAAAAAGCATGTCACAAACTGAGACACACACTTTATCACACACTCTCACAGACTCTCACACACAGCCCAGCAAGTGGAAACAGTAGGTGTGTAAATACTATTCTGACCAAGAGTCAGATATATGGCTGCACTTATTCTAAACCACAGATCCGAACCAGTTTTGGTGTAAAGTTCCTCAAGTCAGCGTGGCTGAATATTAGGTAACAACTTTGTCTGTAGCAAGTCTTAGTTCCTAATTCAAAATCCACATCCAACAGAGGATAAAACATCAGACTCCAATGTATACAATGTACCAGCCAGGCTAAAGTTCAAAGTTTGGAAGAACAAGGGAAATCTCAACAAAATAGTTGTAGTGTGCAAAACATGTCCAGACAAGTATTACATGTACTGGTGGCACCACCAAACATGAAAATCACTTTAGAAGGTGGCAATAGGACACCAACGTTAACGTTACCAGCAGCTTCATGGGCCGTACTCCTCGGGTTTAAGGAAGAATTGGACCAATAACCATTAGTACTTCATTTGAAATGTCATTACATGAATGATACTGACCCGAGAACTAAAGTATACAAAGAATACCAATCAGCAGTATTTCAGTGAGTAAGGCTTTTGTGGAGACTGTTCAACGTTATACTGATCACTGACGTTTGTCATTGAGGACAGTTCAACATGTATAGCAGGAAAAGCCCAAGTGTAATAAATTATACTTTGTTTCGGGGCTCTGGTATTATGCACAAGCTCACTTAAATACTGAGAATTTGTGTATCTGAGCCATAATTAATGTTATTAGTTACAATCATACCTATCAATTTAATCTGCCATTAATGGTCTCCTATCGCTGTGACAGCAGACATAATCTTTGAGCATTTATACCCATGGTCTATTCACACAGGCATATAGACTATAATGACTACAGGCGCTTTCACACAGCCTTATTTTCTGGCGAACTGCGCTGTATAAAAAGGTACAGGGCCGGAAAGGGGGTCAGATTTGATCTGCCTCTGAGCCGGGAACTTTGGAAGCAACAGGGACAGAACAGTGTTGCAATGCTGCAATATTTTGTTCAGTATGAATGAGCGAATGCGGCATATTGGCGGACATTTTTCCTGGTTATTGAGGGATCTCTGTGTGAAAGCAGCTTATGACTGACATTTCCCTGACTCTTCTACTGGCTCTGTTGCACCTGTAGCACAGAATAAATGGCCCACCCACAATGAGAATGAGCAGATGTCTAATGAGCCAAGACTGACACATCTGTGGGTGTTTTTTATAAGACCCTGCCAGTCAAAGCCCAAAAACTTCAATTCATTTGCAAACATTTGAGAATTCAACAAATATAACAAAAAGTGCTTCTGAAATAAATTGGCTACCCTAGTTTTAAATCCAGTTTTAAATTCTCTTAAAGCTCTTCTCTCTCACTCTTCCTATCTTTCTTGGCCTGTAATTCTCCTCGTCTTCGTCTCAGTCAGCATATGATCATTGAGTAAAGGATTCTCAAAGCTGTGGAGTAATTCTCAATCTCTCTCTCATTTACTCTTTCAATTTTTATACCTGGCCATTACAAATGGCAGATTACAAGTGTCTAATGAATTGAGACTAGCAGTGGTGTTTTTCTAGTATCACTGTGGTTCATATCCGAGCAACACTAATCCCAGTGGACCAAGCTTAGCTTCTCTTTGTGTACACACACACACACACACACTTAAATGCAGGTAGAGACCAAGACAGAATCACACACACCTGTTCTATACTGATTCAGTTCTTTCAAATTCACCTTTACATTACATAGTGTACAAAACTATCTGACAGCCCACTATCTTACAGTAAACACTGCTTAAAAAAACATTTACTCTGAAATTTATATATAAAGAATATGTGTGCAATACAAAATAGCACTACCTACTAGGACACAACTGAAAAAACAGAAATGGATCTCATATCTCCAGCCATGCATATCTCTGTCTCCCACACATCTCCCAGCTCAGATATTGATGCCAAATATCCCCCCACAGATTTGCCAAGTGTGATAGTCCATGAGCATCAGCTAGCAGCCAGCTTTAGTAAGTCTGACCTTGATCCATAAACATCAGTGAAGTTCTGCATTTCAAAAATAGAGTGGCCGAGAACCCAAATCAACATCACAGAGAAGTTTCATCACTGCCACAACAACAATGGAGAAATCTTTCCCACGAACGTGACAGATGCAGTCAAAAAAAGCCCTACAAGCACCACAGCTCCTTCAGGAGTCAAGCAAAAAGTTGGGAATGGAGTGAAACAAAAAAAGAGAAGAGTAACAGATAGCAAGACAAGAGTAGGGAATGTATGTGCAACCAGTTTCCTCAAATAGTCAGTCACAGTTCTCTCAATAACTCCCAGTGGATTTTGACGGCAAATCTTTAAAGGTAATTGAAATACTACCAGATGTCTTCGGGTGTATCATTCATAAGTTTTGTAAGTGCAGTGTTTCTCTTCCAATCTTTAAGTTGTCCTCAAACTACTACTATACTACAATACTACTACCAATGTGATGTTGCACTATGAATAATAGCTTCACTGGAGAAATTAGCCAAAGTCATTGAAAGCCTCACAGCTGTCAGTTGTTCTGTTGATATTCAACTTAATAGCAGCAGCAGGTCATGTTTATTTAACTACAGTAATCCTCCAGAATAACTGTTGCCAGTCACCTGATCCCACTGAAACCAGCTGGCCCAAGCTAACAAACATGCCCTCTTTTATTTAGACAAGTGCATGTTTTATAAGTTCTGTGACAGCAGAATTTATAGCTGATAACCACGTGTCTATAAAGATGGTAAAATATCTAAGCTATTCATGCTGTTCATCTTGCATTGCATTACAAAGCCATAAAACCTACAGTTTCTTTGAAAACTTGCAAATTACACACATTCACCCTTCTCACCTCCGGTTCATACACCGGGTATGTTATTTCATAGGTTGAATCACTTACAGACTATGCACTCATTATGTACAGGGAGCACAGACACCAAAATAACCAATGGTCTTTGGTAGATAATGTTGGTGCTCCAGTAGGTTACTAGCATTGATTACCTTGCATCATCTCAAAAGTTAGAAAAGGAGAATGTGTAGAAACCTAAATGGTAATCTAATATGTTTATGTAGCAAAGTTCACACTATGGAGTATAATTATAAAATAAACCCAAATATAAACATGATTTTCTGTTCAGGCGATAGTACCTGGTTTCCAAGGTAACAGCTGATGGAAGACTGTTAAAAACAACTGCACAGTGTCTTACTTTGGGTAATACTAAACACCTTTTATTGCTCAAGATACTCAAGCAAACAAGTTAGCAAAAGGCACCACAGAGTGAAATATCTACCTATTCCTAAACTGGTAAATTAACCTTCCAAATGTCTCTACCCCATTTACCTCCTAATCCCTCAAGGTTGCTTAACTCCCTCCCATTGAGGTGCTATTTCGACAGCAGCCTTTCCTGTCCCATTTCCCTCCCAGCACCCAGGTCATTGATTTATCTTTGGGGGGAACGTGAAGGGGCCTGTGTATCCTCGAAACATCTTACCGGTGGCTGCTGAGAGTTGAGCGCCCCCCTCTTGGTGGAACCCCCTCTGGAGCTGAGCCTCTTCCATGACTCTGAGAAACGCCCCCTCGTAGTGGGACGCCCTGGCCCAGACGTCCCGGACGCAACAGATGAATCATCCCGTGTGGAGAACGGCCGATCCCTGCGCAACTCCCTCCGCTCGGCCCACTTCTTCTTGGAAGCCATTGGTGTTTAAAAACAATGTGGTCAAAGAGATGTGGGAAGCAGGGCAGCCACGCTGAGATCGAGTAGGCTGTTCTTTAATCAAACTAGTGCCACAGGTGGCATCTTCACTTCATTCTCAACTCTGCTGCCTACTGAACTAGTCTGAGTCTTTGTGTGTCTCCTTTTTCTTTAAGTCTTCCTTTTCACTTCAAAAGGTTGTGAAAGAGAATCTTTCAACTCCTCTTTCCTCTGTTTCTTTTACTTTTCCACCTCTTCTGATCTCTTGATCAAAAGGAGTGGGAAATCAGATCTTCACCTGCTCGGCAGAACTCCTGGGTTCGTCTTTTCGTCAGTGTAGCCTTCCTCTGGGGAGGGATGAGAGTCAGAGAGGAGAGGTGCAGAAGGAGAAGGTGCTGTTTGCACCCTGTTGCATGTGCTGTCACTGTGGCTCGGCCGCTGATTCTGTTTTCCCTCCTCACAGAGAGAGAGAGAGAGAGAGAGAGAGAGAGAGAGAGAGAGAGAGAGAGAGAAACAGGGAAACAACGCAAGGGAAGAGGGAGGGCGGGAGAGAGGAGGAGGAGGTTGGAGGGTACGATATTGAGATCCGGGTGAAAGGGGCTTTAAAACAGAGATGAAACAACAACAAGGAGCTCACAGAGTGGGCAGAAAAAGAACAGGAAAAAAGAGCAAATGACAGTGAGACAGGTGCAGCGAGGAAAAAAGAAGAAGGTTACCAGACAAGGAAAACGAAGAGACAAGGAAGAGTCTCTGGAGTGCAGGGTTCCCGTTGAGCATAGTGCAGAGCTGCTTTAAGCTGCCTGAGAGGCACAGAGACAGACACCCTGTTCAGTAAGTCACTCTCTCACTGTGTGAACACTGTGCTTTGAATACCCACAGCTACTAAACCTCCATCTCCTCCCTCTCCTCTTCCTCTTGCTCCCCGAACCTTCATTCACAATCTCACTCTCTCCCTGTGCAGGGCACACGTCTCCCCCTCATCTTCTTATTCCTGTTCTTCCTCTTTGATGTACATGGTTCACAGTTCATGAGTAAAGCCGCCTGAGCGATACCAAATAACACTGGCAGTCGAGCTCTTCTCTACTTTTTCAATACCCTGCCGCACCAATGGTCATCTTCTTCTGTCACTGTCACAACTCTCTGTCGCAAAGTCTTCAGCAGTGCTAAAAGGCATGCCATGCTGTGGAGTTGACAGAAGGTGAGATATTGAGCGATTTCTTCAGGTGCACACATGGTTGTTACTCTATGAGAATCTAAAATGCCTCCAACTCTATTTTGGTCAATAGAAGATGAGAAAAATATTCTGGGGCAAGAAAACAAGATGAGAGAGAGAGAGAGAGAGAGAGAGAGAGAGCAAGGTAACGGGATGGAGACAGGGAGAAAAAGTAAGGAGAGGTGACAGTGTCTGAACACCAGGGACATTGTTGTCATCGCTCCCAGCAACCACTCACCACCTGGGTGTAGCTCCAGTGTGTATTTACGCGCATGTGTGTGTGTGTGTGTGTGTAAGAGAGAGAGAAAGACAGAGAGAATAGATTGTATTTCTGAGCAAGTGAAGAGACAGAGAAAGTGAAAAAGAAAGACAGATACTCCCTGAAGGGTGAGAACGATTGGGCCAGAGTGACAGTGGGAGTAAAAACACATAATCACAACTTTTGATCAAACACGGAACGACACCATGGGGACTTCAAAGTTAGCCCTCACCACTGCATTGAATCACTGACACAATAATTAACCTTTTGCCAATTGTAGTGTGTTTCATCAGAAAAGATTAAGGGAAACACAAAGTGTTGCACAAAGCTTAAAATGGAAAATGTTCTCAAATATTAGTATCTGTGAGCTTTGAACTGTTCAGACAAAGGCATTTGAAGACAGAAAAGAAATGGCATTGTTTTCTATTTTCCGACATTTTATAGACAAAACAATGTGTTAACTAAGCAAAAATTCAGCTGGTGAATCAATAAGTAATGACAATATTTGTCACTTGCAGCCCAAGTGATAAATTGTTATCTGTAGAACATATGTATATTCAGACAGCGATCTATACTGTCTATAGGTTTGCAATATAATTTGGTGCATACAAATACAAATATTTATCTTCATTTTTATTTGTAACAATATAGTTCAGCTTATCTTACAATAAAGAACAAAAGCAAAACATTGTTTTAAATAAGTAAACAAACAATGTAAATACTCAACATTAAATTTTAGCATTAAAATTACATTTTCAGTTTAACTGATAAAATTAAAAGAAAAGTAACTTTCTCTACACAATGCAACAAGTGCTCTACTCGCAATTAGCCCACAGAACCATTTAGCCACTTAATAACTTCTAAAATTGTGTTTAAAACCATTTGTATCTTTACATGTAATGATAGGTATGTGTTTTGTGGGCCTGTAACACCTCATGTGGATGAATGCTTCACTAATTTGCAGGACATTTTGGAGGAATGGGTTCATTATTGCGTGACTTTCAGAGACAGGCGATGTCAATAATATCTTCATTAATCCTAACGTTACGTTTTTAGCATAGCTAAGCTAGCTAGTTAGCATGCTAATGGTCACCTATGGAAAAACTTCACAGCTAAGCGACCAACATCGCTTAAAATGTCTACATTGTGTGTAAGTACGTGACTTTTGTTGTTACTTTATCTTACCTGACAGTATATGTGATTGTGGGACCAAACCAGTCACCATGTGTAGCTGTGTCTCCACCCAGCAGGAGCTCAGTAACGTTACCTGCTTTCTGACATGTTGTCTGTTTTATGCTACCACTAAGAGTCACCAGTGAGCCTAAACTGACTTTTGGTCACATTGGGTTAACATTAATACAACAGTCACTCTTATTTCAGCTCTGGTCTGGTCTCCACCAACTCCCGAGACAAGCCAGCTGCTAGATGGTCGGCTTTCCTCAGGAGCTAGTGGTTATGTCTGCTGATAGGATACAGATGGTTTATAGCAGCCCCTTAGCTTAATTAAAATGTTAAACTCAGGTAATATTTTGTTTAAAGAAAGAATCTTGGTTAATGTCCAGGTGTGCTGGCCATTTTGTTTTTCATTAATGGAAAAATAAATTCAGGGTAGGCTTGTAATTCCGACTATATAAAATAAAATATTTGTTGTGGGTGATATGGACACTCACATACACACACACACACACACAGCATTGCATATAGTTTTTCCAACTTTTCAAAAGTCTGTGCAAAATTAGTTTGACAGTGAGACTAAAGCAATGATAGAAATTACATTACATTTACTCATTTGGCAGACTCTTTTATCCAAAGCGACTTATATTTGATGAACAACTTACAAGCGTGAATAAAGCATTCAGACTGTGAGAGATCTCAAGTTACTATAAACACTAGTAAGAGCTAATAGTGCGCAATAGTGCAATCAATCCAAGAGAACTGTAAGGAGACTATAAGAAGAGCAAATTAAGTGCATGTTAGAGGTTAGGGGTAAGAGAAAGTGTTCTCGGAAGAGATGAGTTTTCAAGAGCTTCTTGAAGTTTAAGAGGGACGCTCTGATGGCATGTGGTAGCTCCTTCTACCATCGTGATGTCACAGATGAGAGCAGAGTGGGACTGAGATTGCTTTGTGTGTAGGGTAACTCATACAAAAAAAGGTTATCACATAACATAATTTCTCTCTCAACTCAAATTTACAGTTTATTACATACCAATTACAAATGAAAAATGGGGAAACAGGGCAAAAAACTTGAGAAAACCTGTGATAGACAGTGAGAAAACATTAACTCTGAAAAGTAGAAGGGGAAATAAGAGTTGTTGATTTCACCCAAGAAGCTTTTAGGGAATTTGTTTAAAGTTTGAACTAGTCAATGTGTGTTCTAGCAGACATCTGCCTTCCTCTTGTCCCCCAGCACCACCCGCTTTCTTTAACATCAAAGATCCACCTACACAGGGTCGTGTGGTTGCCATGGTTACTAACCTGAAAACTGATGTTGCATCATCAGTGCTTCATTATAATCCTCCCATGTTTCACCATGTGAACTCATGTACAAATTCACATCATTACATCCACAAAAACACACATTTACCCCACACCAGCAGCAGACTCATTTTCTTAAACACACACACACACACACACACAAACTATGTAAGAAAATATCATGCTCACACTTGTTTCAGACTGACATATAAATGGCCCAACACCAAATAATTAAATACATTTAAAAACAGGAGTTGCAGGTCATTTTATTAAACTTTTCAGGAGTCCTTTTAATTGGCTATCTGATTAGTGGCTTTATTTTTTTTTTTACTGGGGTTGGTGTAGTGTGTCAAGATCACACTCTCTAACAAGTTACAGAAAAAAGAAAGAAAAGAGCTAAGCATGCCCCTGCAAAAGCAGCAGCCATTAACTAAAGGAATAACAAAATACTTGAGAAAATTGCTCAGTTGGTTTCTAATCTCCCAAAATAAATAGAATAGTTGTCAGACTTTCTTAAAAAAACATTACTTTTTGATTATCTTGAAGTGCTGGAAACCAACACCATACACATATTTCCATGTTTAATTACACAAATTGAGCTTGTGGAATGTTTCATCTGCTGCTGAACGAACCAATTTACCCATCTTTCATCCATAGCTTAGGTTCTTTTCTTAATCTGAGCTTTAAAATCATCACACATAAAATTATCTCCACAGTATTTGTCACTAAGAAAAGCCAAAATTTTCTGACAGTCAGACAGTACCCAACTTTTACTGAAAGTGAAGACCGGAGTGAGAAATCCTTGTAGACAAGTGCGCTACCCGGGCTTTGAAGTAAAATATAGAAAATGATTGAATGTTTTTGGACTAAAAGCGCTATTGCAATCATTTAAATGGTACGCGAGTGTTAATGTGTGTTTAGCTGTCACATCTCATTGAACTCAATATGCACATTTGTACTTAAAATTCAAGAATAACATTATCTTAAGAAGTGGACAAATTCTACAATGTTGTAAACTTGTTGTTGGAAATGAATTATATCCTTCTGAATTTAATTAGCAACAGTAAAAGCAGCTGCGAGCTTCTAAAATCATTTCAGATCCCAATAGCTGAAACAAATAAATAAAAAAATAAAGATATACAGTTAATACACCCATAAATATTAACTCAATCTAAAACTATGTGTTTTTTCGGACCCATTGTCTGTCTGTTATGTTGAAGATCATGGGGCAACAGGAAATGTGTTTCCTACCTTGATCTCTGTGCACAGAGGGGTCAGAACTCTTCTAGTGTGGGATTTCCTCGTCATTTTCCGCTGGAAGAAAAGGGAGATACAGAGAAAAAGTTAAGAAAACATCTGCTGTACTTCATAATGACATGAATAAGCTCTCTCATCAGAAAGTCGTTCAATTAATCACTCACCCTTCAAATCTTTAATTAATATAATATCATATATTTTAAAAAATTCCAATGTCTTTACGTTTGTGAACATATTAGTAATACTATCAACATTTTGAATAATGTTTGAATTTTGAGTCTTGGTAGTTTACTTACACTGAGCTGACACATCCCTTCCATCATTGAACTCCCTTTATTTCCATTTCTGTCTATTGCGTATGTCACAGTTCTTTTCATAATTATTGCATTAACTAAATTTATTGGTAAAGGAATTAAGGTCATGAAAATCCAGGTGATATAAAGTGAAGAATTTCTGCATACATTGTTTTCAAGGCTAAAGTGAAGGTCTGTTATTTGCAAATTGACTATTATCCTGAACTTTGCCTCAGTATTTTTCTCACACGGTACACGATTAAAATAAGTTGCACTGGATTAGCTCTCAATATGTTTTGGTTCAAGGGTTAAAGTATATCACATCAGTTAATTGAAAGTGTTACCCAAGACACACTGCATGAATGTGTCCAATTACTGAGAAAGATAACACTAGGCGGCAAACTGCAGAATGTGAATTTAACAGTAAAATACAAAGTATTGTAAACAAACAATAAATGTCTTTTTTAATAAAAATGGAGATTTCCACCACTGTTGTGAACAGATGGTATTTGGTGCCAAAGGACCGAAAACCAAAGAAAATACGAAGGTCTTTTTGTGTGCAAAGCTTTATTCACTCCTTGGTCGAATAAATAGATCTGATCTCATCGTGATTTTTATTCGTTCCTGTGATGCTGACAATCTGATTACTGCTGCTATAAGTCTCTTTTCTCATTCTTATACTCACCATATATATACTGTATGTGAGGAATGTCCTGATTTATAACTTCAAATATCAATATGTCCGTGTTCACTAAAGAGGGACAGCAGGAAAAATAATCAAATAGTTATGAATGGATAATTAATAGACGTATTTGCGTTTTGAAATTGAGTTCTAGTCTATGTTTTTAAACTTTACTTTTCTGAAAAGAAAAAAATACTACTCACCGTTCAAAGAGTGAGAGACTAAATCCTTAATTAGGATCCATACCAATAGCAAATATACCCTGGTTTTAATGGCAGGAGTCAGGTGTGACAGACTCCAGCAGGGTTTCAGCTCTCACCTGTCTCTCCCGTTTCCTTCAAGAGATTTGACCATCAACTTCTTGAGTTTCATTATAGCCAGTTTGACTTGACAAGCTGAGCTGCCTGTTTGTTCCTCTTCCTCTGACTTCACTTTCTCCACCTACTCGTCATTTTTTCCCCATCTGCAGTGGTTCCCATTCCCCATCCATCCATTCCTTTTATTCATTCAGCTGTGAGTGCCATGCTCAGATTCTGGCATGAAGCCACCTCACTTAAATGAGCAAAATCAATGTAGAAAATTGGTGTAATGAATTCATGATCGTCTTGTCCTTGAATACGGCAGTGTCTGTGTCCTTTCCACCAACTCTGCATTTATCTTTTCATAATCAGGCGTCACCACCACCTCTTTTTATTTTCACTTTACTTATGCAAATGGAAAAGACATCCCTCAACTTCTTTCATCTCCCCTCATTCTCATACCCTTTCACACCCTTGAAACCAAACCAGCTGGATCATGTGATGAAGATTAGGGGCAATAACTGACATTATGGCACACATTGAATATTTATATACCTGCCACGGAATCTGTTGGAAATGAAAAGAAAGTTTATTCCAAAAAGAGCACGAGGGCTGCTGTATTTGCTCCACTGATAATTAGCCTGTCTCCTCTCATATCCTAACACTAATTACTGCTTCCTCTCTCTGTGCGACAGAAAGGTTGGGGATGCATTTTTAAGCAGGCTGATGCCATCAATAATTCACACACAGCATTTACAGACAATATGTGTGATTCTGTTTGCCAGATTGTGTGAATTGTGTGAATTTCTGTCAAGGACGCCTGCTTTTGTGCATCAGGTGCACATTTACAGCTAACCATATTCTTTCTTCTGTTGTTTCAAACTTTCTAAAGCTGTCTGTAATTCAGCCGGGAAAGACTCAACTACAGTAGCTGTCAGGCTGTAAGAGGAGATGAGCCAAAAGCAAACGCAGCCTCCTGTAGAGAAGTGTCGCCAAAACTGTCCATACTGCTGCTAAAACTCCTACACATCTCACAGACTGTTTGACAACAGCCTAAAATGACAGCCAGCAAACCCATGATTTTCTCAATATGCTCAAAAAACGATGCATTTGTAATTTTTGTGTGTGTATGTGTGGGTTAGTATGACTCACTAGTGCTGGCTTTCCGTCCAAGCCACACATACACTAATGAGGGATAGCTCATCTGGTGCCACAGACCGGCTTAGAGACAAGCCACTAATCACTGAATCACGGAGAAGAAACCAAAGTATGTGCACGCTCTCACACACAAAAATTCCCTGACAATTCTCTGTTGAGGGAGGACTACTTGGGTTGTCACCACATTTTCTAGCTTCAGCCACTTTTGCATTGTAGAGATAAAACTCATAGAAATGGAAGACTTGAACATTTGTAAATCTATGC